CTATGGGGGGGAAAAAAGAGAAAAAACTGAAATAATTGGAACAAAAAAAATTAATTTTTAAAAAAAGAAACTATTGCAATAAAAAAAAAGACTAATGACCCATTAAATGTTTAAAAAGATACAAGAAAAATTTCCTACCTTCTAATCTAGTTGAGGAACTATAATATAAACATGCAAATCTCTTTTCAACTCTCCAGTGCTACCCATTTCATTGAGAATAAAATCCAAATCCTTAGCAATAATTTATGAGGCCCCCTAGGATCTGGACCTACATCTATTACCTTATTTCCTGTCACTTTCCCCTTCACCTATTTTACAATGGCCAATAATTACATGAAAAAGTACTCAACATCATTATTTTCCAGGATAATGCAATTTAAAACCATGAACTACCACCACAAATTAAAAAACATGGACTGAAAATACCAGTTATAGGCAAGGATGATGAACACAACAGCAAATCTCTCACAATGCTGGTGGAAGTGTAAATTGTAAAACCATTTTGGAAAACGTTTGGCAGTGACTACTAAATCTAAACATACATATACCTGATTATACAGCAATCCCATTTCTTTGGGACATAAACCCCAAAGTAATTAGTGCTTATGCTCATCAAAAGGCATGTACAAGAATGTGCATAGCCCTTTTAGTCATAATAGCTCAAAACTGGAAGCAATCTAAATATCCACCAACTGAACAGATTAATAGCATTAAAAAAGAATGCTATAATGCAACATAGATGAATCTCATAGATATAATATTGAGAGAAAGAAACTAGACACAAAAGAGTACATACTGATAATTCTATTTTCATAAAGTTCAAAAGACAAAAATAATCTGTGATAACAGAAGTAGTATAGTGATTATTTTCTTTATTGATTTGTTCTGAATGAGAGGTATTAAATGGGAAGTAGCATGAGGGAGACTTCTCTGGGTGCTAGAAATGTCCTATATCTTAATGTAGGTAGTTGTTGCACAAGTATTTTACACATGTATAAATTCCGAGAGTTGTGAATTTAAGGTCTGTGTTACAGTAAAGTTATATATAAAATATATGTTTATATATACATACAAATATCAATATACTGCTTCCACTCCTCTGGGAACTTTTGGCTCTGTCAGGCCATTATTTACTTTATTGCTTCTTTTACTGAAAAGGGAATGGAGTACTACTTGGATAGCTGATGCTGAAATAATTGCTTACCTTTAACAAAGGGCAGCTGCAAAGGTTGGGAAAGGAGAGTGGAAAATTAACTCCCAGAAGGAAATCCTTGTTGCTCAGATATCTCTGCTGGCTCTCCCCTTCTGGCTCTCCCCAGGAGCGCAGCTGATGGAGCCTGTAGGAGGCTTTCAGAGACAGGAAAAGAGCTAACCATCTGAAACAAATCACAGCAGACATGCTTATTCAGTGCTCCATGGAGGTTTGAGGGTAGTTCACAGCAGTGAGGAACTTTGTCTCTCATTAACATATCTCTTTTCTAAATATTGAGCATTTTAGAAACAGTTCTTTCCTACTTTGAGATAAAACCATTTCATATTTCCGTTCTATAAATTCTACCTTTTGCATGACTTGGATTGCTACTATGAAAACTAAAATCCTCCGTAAAGCTCATCTCAGTATTGAAGAATATTCAATCCTACCACAAAAACTCTATCATAAAAACATCCTCCTATTAGGGAGAGAGCTTTGCCTAATGAGGTCACTATTTATTACATAAAGGCAAGGTAATAAAATAAGGGAAAGCCATTATTACAAAGAATAAGATCATAGAACTAAGTTTCCCAGAACATTTAAGGCAGGCTATGCTGTAATCACTACTAACTAAAGGAATCATTACCCATCATTTGCCCTATGGAAGCGAATAAAATATAGCAGACTAACTAGAAATTAAGAAGACCTGAAGACCTGGTAGCACGTGGGAGGAGAGTCTGATGTTTTTATTTATGGTATATCATGAGGCATCCAGCAATTATTAAATGATCAAAAGAGAATTATGACTTCCTAATATAAATTTTCTTTTAAAAAATATTTTTATTGATATCAGAGAGGAAGGGAGAGGGAGAGATAGAAACATCAAAATGATGAAAGGGAATCACTGATCAGCTGCCTCCTGCACGCCACACACTAGGGATTGAGCCTGCAACCTGGGCATGTGCCCTGACTGGGAATCGAACTCTGACCTCCCAATTCAGAGGTCGATGCTCAATCACTAAGCCATGCCGGCCAGGCCCTAATATAAATTTTCAACAACACAAAAAGAATGAGAGGCTCTGTAAGATATAACATTAAATATTTAACCTTCATAGTATTCAACCTTTGTCCTTGTTAATTTCCAATGGCTCTCTCATCAAACAACGAGCAAACTCCTCACTCACCTGGCCAAAAGTCCCTGAAGCATGAGGTTTGCCATTTCTGCTGGCGATACATCAATAAAGCGAAGGAAAGAAAAACAGCTTTCTTCATTAACACCTAGAATATCAAAGGACAAAGTTAAACTCAATAACAAGCCAAGAGATAATACTCAACTAAAACCTGTTCGCTAAACTGCTGAATTTTGGCTTAATAATAAAAACATTTTAAAGATTCTGAACCACAGCTACTTTGATGAAAGTCAGGGTGTCATATTTTTGTACCACAATCTTAAGTAGACTAGGCAGACCTATGAGATATGGCACAGATGAGCTACAGTGAAGTTGGCTCATTAGTTACATTTGGGGTTTTGGATCCTTGGCTAACTGCCTTCTTCTTTTTATCATGCCAGACCAAAAGAAAAAGAAAAAAGCAAAGGACAGAACTAAGAGATTCTGAACCATTGAACCTTTGCCTTAATACTACAGACAATGTCCTAAGTTGAGAGGCTTCTTTTCCTTAGACTAATAAGAATCTTGCACTGTCTCTGTCATGTCTTAAGAGTATAAGAAATTCTTAAGAGTCAGGTATGAAATAAAGCTGGAAGGTCAACGTAATATTTTTTTATTGCTTCCTGTTATAGTCACAAATCATAGCATCTATAGATGAAGATGACTAATTTACTTAAATCTTATCAAGACTTTATAAATAAAAACCTAGCATGCAGGCAAACCACTATTAGTTCCAAATCCGTCATTCAACAAAACAAAGAGAAACATCCTGATAAATCCTTGGCAAACTTTCCTTCCCAAAGATAAAAACACATACCTTTTCTGTGAAAGAGAGACTGTTGGATATAGTCTGGTGCAAATGGAGAAAGAAGAACCCTTAACCACCTGTAAAGCAAGTAAATAAAGTAAATACAAACCCAAATTTATTTGATTTTTAAAAATATATATTTTTATTGATTTCAGAGAGGGAGAGGGAGAGATAGAAACATCATCAGAGAGAGAACAATTGATGGCTGCCTCCTGCACGCCCCTGACTGGGGATCGAGCCTGTAACCTGGGCATGTGCCTGACCAGGAATCAAACTGTGACTTCCTGGTTCATAGGTTGACACGCAACCACTGAGCAACACAGGCCTCTTTTACAGATCTCTTTTGGAGCAAGTGCATATTTGCACACAGGAGCATATTTCTCATTTGGAAAAGCAACTAGAAGTGGCTAGGGTCTTTAAGGTCATCCAGTTAGGTAAACCCTTGACAGTGCACAGATTTTCCTACCACAAGATCCCTTAACCCAGTTTAATTATGTTTTAGTGAGGAATTCAAACATTCTCCACTAAAATTTTCTCCACAATCCCACATATTACAAAAACACTCTTTTAGAGTAAACAGATAGTAATATTTGCTCACCTGTCTCGTGAATGGTTGAAGACCCTGATCTGTCCGTGATGGTAGATAAATTTTGAAATCTGGTATGGCTTTAGGGAAATATGAAATGGAGACCAAGTTTCTTGTCGTTCAAATAACTCTGGGTGATTACACACCTAAGAGAAAGGGAAAGAACACAACATTGTTATGTGCAAACATCACTCTATGAAATGATGGGGGATCCCAAACTTTGTGAATAAATACTCTGCCATTTTCATCTCTTTTTAACAACATTTATTTGGTATCAAGGTTAGAGGCCTTTTACTTGAAGTGGGTTAATAAAGACAATTCCAAGGCAACTGATCTAAGCTCTTACCTTTCTAAACTGCATGACCAGATTCATGAGGCTGCTGGTGGTGGTCTGTGCTTGCTGGGTAGAGCCCATAGAAGATTGCAATAAATCCTCAATAGAAATTTTGTTCTTTAGTGCCTCTAAGTTTCCAGAACATTTAAGGCAGGCTATGCTGTAATCACTACTAACTAAAGGAATCATTACCCATCATTTGCCCTATGGAAGCGAATAAAATATAGCAGACTAACTAGAAATTAAGAAGACCTGAAGACCTGGTAGCACGTGGGAGGAGAGTCTGATGTTTTTATTTATGGTATATCATGAGGCATCCAGCAATTATTAAATGATCAAAAGAGAATTATGACTTCCTAATATAAATTTTCTTTTAAAAAATATTTTTATTGATATCAGAGAGGAAGGGAGAGGGAGAGATAGAAACATCAAAATGATGAAAGGTAATCACTGATCAGCTGCCTCCTGCACGCCACACACTAGGGATTGAGCCTGCAACCTGGGCATGTGCCCTGACTGGGAATCGAACTCTGACCTCCCAATTCAGAGGTCGATGCTCAATCACTAAGCCATGCCGGCCAGGCCCTAATATAAATTTTCAACAACACAAAAAGAATGAGAGGCTCTGTAAGATATAACATTAAATATTTAACCTTCATAGTATTCAACCTTTGTCCTTGTTTATTTCCAATGGCTCTCTCATCAAACAACGAGCAAACTCCTCACTCACCTGGCCAAAAGTCCCTGAAGCATGAGGTTTGCCATTTCTGCTGGCGATACATCAATAAAGCGAAGGAAAGAAAAACAGCTTTCTTCATTAACACCTAGAATATCAAAGGACAAAGTTAAACTCAATAACAAGCCAAGAGATAATACTCAACTAAAACCTGTTCGCTAAACTGCTGAATTTTGGCTTAATAATAAAAACATTTTAAAGATTCTGAACCACAGCTACTTTGATGAAAGTCAGGGTGTCATATTTTTGTACCACAATCTTAAGTAGACTAGGCAGACCTATGAGATATGGCACAGATGAGCTACAGTGAAGTTGGCTCATTAGTTACATTTGGGGTTTTGGATCCTTGGCTAACTGCCTTCTTCTTTTTATCATGCCAGACCAAAAGAAAAAGAAAAAAGCAAAGGACAGAACTAAGAGATTCTGAACCATTGAACCTTTGCCTTAATACTACAGACAATGTCCTAAGTTGAGAGGCTTCTTTTCCTTAGACTAATAAGAATCTTGCACTGTCTCTGTCATGTCTTAAGAGTATAAGAAATTCTTAAGAGTCAGGTATGAAATAAAGCTGGAAGGTCAACGTAATATTTTTTTATTGCTTCCTGTTATAGTCACAAATCATAGCATCTATAGATGAAGATGACTAATTTACTTAAATCTTATCAAGACTTTATAAATAAAAACCTAGCATGCAGGCAAACCACTATTAGTTCCAAATCCGTCATTCAACAAAACAAAGAGAAACATCCTGATAAATCCTTGGCAAACTTTCCTTCCCAAAGATAAAAACACATACCTTTTCTGTGAAAGAGAGACTGTTGGATATAGTCTGGTGCAAATGGAGAAAGAAGAACCCTTAACCACCTGTAAAGCAAGTAAATAAAGTAAATACAAACCCAAATTTATTTGATTTTTAAAAATATATATTTTTATTGATTTCAGAGAGGGAGAGGGAGAGATAGAAACATCATCAGAGAGAGAACAATTGATGGCTGCCTCCTGCACGCCCCTGATTGGGGATCGAGCCTGTAACCTGGGCATGTGCCTGACCAGGAATCAAACTGTGACTTCCTGGTTCATAGGTTGACACGCAACCACTGAGCAACACAGGCCTCTTTTACAGATCTCTTTTGGAGCAAGTGCATATTTGCACACAGGAGCATATTTCTCATTTGGAAAAGCAACTAGAAGTGGCTAGGGTCTTTAAGGTCATCCAGTTAGGTAAACCCTTGACAGTGCACAGATTTTCCTACCACAAGATCCCTTAACCCAGTTTAATTATGTTTTAGTGAGGAATTCAAACATTCTCCACTAAAATTTTCTCCACAATCCCACATATTACAAAAACACTCTTTTAGAGTAAACAGATAGTAATATTTGCTCACCTGTCTCGTGAATGGTTGAAGACCCTGATCTGTCCGTGATGGTAGATAAATTTTGAAATCTGGTATGGCTTTAGGGAAATATGAAATGGAGACCAAGTTTCTTGTCGTTCAAATAACTCTGGGTGATTACACACCTAAGAGAAAGGGAAAGAACACAACATTGTTATGTGCAAACATCACTCTATGAAATGATGGGGGATCCCCAACTTTGTGAATAAATACTCTGCCATTTTCATCTCTTTTTAACAACATTTATTTGGTATCAAGGTTAGAGGCCTTTTACTTGAAGTGGGTTAATAAAGACAACTCCAAGGCAACTGATCTAAGCTCTTACCTTTCTAAACTGCATGACCAGATTCATGAGGCTGCTGGTGGTGGTCTGTGCTTGCTGGGTAGAGCCCATAGAAGATTGCAATAAATCCTCAATAGAAATTTTGTTCTTTAGTGCCTGATAGAGTAGCTTTTGTCGACTGGTCAGTTGGCAATACATTAGGATCTCAATCTAAAAATCAGTGAAAACATTTATATTTTGAAAAACAGTTTAGAAGGAAATTCAGTATCATCATAAAATTAAAAACACATGTAAGCCAGATGATTGAAAAAACAATATATGTATCTCTAGAAACACATTATCTCTATAAATCTGTGATGTGGTTAATTATCCAGAAATGTTTTTTTTTCCTTGACTCTCTTTCCGTCACTCAATCTACATGCTGTCCCTGGGAAATTTCTTCCATTTCCAATAGCACCAATTATTGCCCATCACAGTGACTTACACAAAAATATATCCCTAAACTCCCCTAGCCCCATACTGTCAACTGCCTACTACAATAAAATAGTACCACTCAGAGAGTGCACAGCAGTTTTATGTTTTTAATAAAAAAAAGGTTTTATTGATTTCAGACAGAGGAAGGGGGAGGGAGAGAGAGAAACATCAGTGATGAAAGAGAATCAACATCCATCGGTGTCTCCTACAGGGGATTGAACCCTAAACCTGGTGTGTGCCCTGACCAGGAATCGAACCGTGACCTCCTGGTTCATGGATTGATGCCCAATCACTGATCCACACCAGCTGGGCAAAGTAGTTTTATATGTCACATATCAGAAAACAATTATCTTTTCCACAATTTACTAAATTGATTAACAGCATTACCACTCACTGAGTTGCCCAAGAGAAACTTTAGTCAGCTTTGATTTCTTCTCTCTCTCATACCCCATGTTTAATAATTTCCTAAGTCCCTCAACTCAACCTAGAAATTTACTTATTTATTTTTATTTTATTTTATTATTGATTTCAGAGAGGAAGGGAGAGGGAGAGATAGAAACATCCTATATAATAAAAGCCTAATATGCTAAGTGTCCGGTTGTCCATTCAACCAATCAAAGCGTTGAATGCTAAGGCTGCTCAACCGCTTGCTATGACATGCACTGACCACTAGGGGACAGACAGTCAATTGGTCAACCAGTCACTATGACATACACTGATCACCAGGGGGCAGATGCTCCGACTGGTAGATTAGGTTGCTGCTGGGGTCCCGCCAATCGGGACTGAGCAAGATTGGCCGGACATGCCCTGGAGCCCTCCTATGGTCCCTCCCCGGCTGGCCAACTTCTTGCGTCCCTCCCAGCCCTGATTGTGCACCGATGGGTTCCCTCAGCCTGGCCTGTGCCCTCTCGAAATCCGGGACCCCTTGGGGGATGTCAGAGAGCCGGTTTCAACCCGATCCTGCAGGTCAGGCCAAGGGACCCCACTGGTGCATGAATTCGTGCACCAGCCTCTAGTCAATGATAAGAGAGATTCATTGATTGGCTGCCTCTTGCATGCCCCCTATTGGGGACTTCAACCGAGGCACATGCCCTTGACCGGAATCGAACCTGGGACTCCTCAGTCCATAAGTTGAGGCTCTAGCAACTGAGCCAAACCGGCTAGGGCTAGAAATTTACCTCTAACCACTTTTTATGACCATTCCCATTGTGTTATTCTGGAGTCTTCCTGCTGCCAGCCAGTCTCTCCTGATCCTAAAAAAAGTTTTCTTACAAATTTTGTAATTCAACTACTGAAAAAACCTTCAATGTACATTTCTGCCTATAGTAAAATATTAAAAATTCTCCAATAGGTAGAAAAGACCTTCCATAATCTAACCCACCCAATTGTCCCAGTCTTATTACTATGTCTTCCTACATACCTTAGCAAGCATGGTCTGAATAATGTTTGCCAAACATACTGTATATTTGAATGTTGCTCTACCTTTGTTCACATTGCTCTTGTTGCCTAGCACCCCTTTCTATAATTTTCCTAGTAAATGACAACTCGTTATTCCAGATCTACCTCACATGTCATCCCTGCTTTGATGCCATCTAAGAGAACTACTCCCTTATCTATGTTCCCATTATAGTTCACATAGACAATCATTGTATCTCTATGACACAGTATTAGTTATTTGTCTCCTTTGGAAATCTGAACAGAAACTGGAGACTTTACATATCTATAAGTACCAGTGGATGGCATGCAATAAATAACTATATTAAATAGTATTATTTACTAGATCAGAAACATTACTGATGCCTAAGAAATGTACACTATATACAGTGGTTAAGAACCATACTACATCTTCTGATCACCTCCCTACTGACCATTAACAGTATTATGACACTGCTATTGTTTTCTAAGTCCTCTGTGATAAAAAAAAAAAAAGCCTCAAGGATCCATTTTTTTAAATAAAGTATATTCCTTCTATCAGGTACATCTGTGTGACAGTGCTCTTTAATTAAAATCTGCCAGTTTCACAAAACAGCCACCAAGATTTTTTAAAAAGAAGTAAAACAAAGGTACACTGCTCCTTTCTTTGAAGGTGTGCATCACCACCACAATCTTCCAAAGAGAGTTACTAATTTCAAAACAATCCATCCTTCTGACAGTGATAGAGAAGAACTACCTGATATTATCAGGATCTGGAAAGCTGCCTTTGTTAGAAACAAGCAGACTCTGTGGAATATGGAAAAAACTCCAAAGGACTGAGAACTGGTAGAAAAAAGAAGGAAGGAGAATATGGGGAGAATTCACAGGAGAATTATAGAAGTCTGGTAAAGATACCTGGCCTGTGATATTTATAAACCAAAATTATTGGCTTTGTATGAGAAAAAATATTATAACCCAAAGCACATTAAATTTCAAACTCTAACTCTCAGTTGCAGAAATACAAGAGACAGAGGAACACATCTGACAACACCAGGATGATGTAATTTGCAAAATCTAGTATGTGGGAAACTCTATAGGACAAATAACTCAGTTTCTTCAACAACGAATGCAAGGGAAAGCAGAGGGAGGAATTAAAAGATACTTAAGCCCTGGTTGGTTGCTCAGTGGTTAGAGCGTCAGCCCAAGGACGGAATGGTTGCCGGTTTGATTCCCAATCAAGGGCATGTACCTTGGTGCAGTCTCAATCCCTGTCCCTGTCCGGGAGAGTGTGGGAGGCGACCAATCAATGTGTCTCTCTCACATTGATGTCTCTTTTTCTCTCTCCCTTCCTCCTTCCCTCTCTCCCTCTCACTCTCTCTAAAAACCAATGGAAAAATATGCTCAGGTGAGGATTTAAAAAGATAAAAAGACACTTAAGAGACATGTCACCCAAATGCTATGTGTGGATCTTGCTTGGATTCTGATTTCAAAAATCTAATTCTGAGAGTGAGAGTGAGAGTGAAAAAGAGGCGAGAATGAACTAGGGATATCTGAGCACTGACTGCTATGTAATACTACAATAAAGTAATTGTCATTTTCAGCAGGGGCAATAATATGCGGTTATGTATTTTTTAAAAGACCAAATATTTTAAAATACATATGAAAATTTTTATAAATGAAATAAAAGACATCTGGGATCTGCTTCAGAATAATCTAGAAGGGTGGGGATAGCCATGAGTTGATCACTGTTGAAGCTGTTTGGTGACTACAAAAAGGTACATTATATTATGTTTTCTACTTTCATAATATTTCAAATTCTCCATAAATGACTATAAAACAAAAAGAAAAATATTACTTGCTGTGATTATTTGACTCATATGAAATCTTTGATCCACTCAGGTTTAAAGGTCTTCTCTCAATCAAACTAATTACTTTTCAAGTAAACATTTATAAAGAAACATTTTTTTCTCCCTGGAACCCTAAGGTGGTGCCTATTAAGGCTTAATAAACTCATGAAGTTTTCTTTCCTTACCTTGTCAGACAATTCATTTTCTACATCTTTCTTGATTCTCCTCAGCATAAATGGCTTCAAGATCATGTGTAAGCGAGAGAGTTGATCTGAAATGCCAGGAGGACCCCCCCATAAGTAATACATTATTTCAATTTAACACAAACAAAAGAAAAGTCATAAACATCTCTCACTAAACTGTTTTAACACCTTTTGGCTTAATGATTCTATGAAAGAAGACTGAAACAAATTTTTTTCCCCAAGTAGGAGACCAAGGAATCTGAATTTTCCAGAGTATCTTCGTATAGTCAACTGGGCAAATGCATTTTGCTCTCACTCAGACCAACAAAGACCACCTTATTTTTATTAGAATGCACCTTTATAATGTTTAAGGAACATTTTTATCAATAAAATAGGGTTCTCATATAGGTCTAATGCAAGCTATCTGTGGTTCCCAATGTTCCCCAAAATCATGTTTTCAAATTATGTCATCAAATAACAACTTGTAGTATAAGAAATTACTAAGGACTTTTCTAATAGTTAAAAGATGTCACTTCATGTTTATGTAACAAACACATGATTCTCTTAAAAGATAATACTCAACAAGATCAATAGTACTGACACACAATGTTAAAAATGTTCACAGTAGAAACACATTTTAATATAAACAGAAACTAGTATTTTCAGTTTTTATCACAGGAAAAAGCCTTACCCCATTCCACAAAGAACAGAATTCTGATGGGAATTTTTCAGGCTCTATGTGGAAATCTGACTCTGCCTACTCTGCCTTGATTAGCCAACAATACAGTAAAACCTTGCTATACAGACTAATTTGGGTGAGGAGGTGTCTGTTAAAGCTGAAAGTCCGTTGCATAATAAAGTAGGTTTTCTGAATGCGAATGTTAAAAAATTGACAAATTAGTTTACCTGATTTACTCATGTAGACATGTTTGTGTAATTAAAATTAAGTATGTATGAAAAGTTTAACTTTCACAAAAAAGTTTTCTGTATGTATCACTGTAATTTTACATTTATACTAAGTGGGTCTAATAAACGTGTGCATTCACCAGTCACCTCAAGTAAACAAATGCATGCAGCTAGGGTGTAGCTTAGTGAACATGGAAACATCTGGCAAGGCATGCATTAAAACCGCTGCAGAAAGTCACACCACAACACAACAGAACCAATTACTGCGCCCAATGAGATGTGATCGCTTGCTAATCATTCACTGAACATTGTTTACAAGCGGTGACTCTTGGATTTAAATATGTAGAATATAGTTGTAGATATGTAATGTTTATTTTGGCAAAATTACTACAGTGCTTTAACAAAAACAACAAAAAACTTGATAATTTAATTATAAGCAAATCTTGGTTAAAAGCATTTTAAAATTAACAGGGTTTTAATTTTCACATATGACACATGGACCAGAAATTTTGTCCGCTAAATTGGAAGTCCTTTAAATCAAGGTCCACAAAATTGAGGGTTTACTGTACAGCAACATCACCTGAATCAATTAGTCCTTTTTTAAAGCCTTTTAAACATAAACAAAGTACATATTTTTTTTTTACTTTTAATATTGTTTATTCAACTTGATTGCTAAAGATAATGTCCTTCAAACATGAAAAACTGACCTAAACATGACATCTGAACAAAGGACCATAATAGCTTCTAGTTACTGTATCTATTATTAAATTGTTCTTTTTATCTCAATTACTTCTTTCTCTTTAGACAAATATCCCAATCAAGAGGAACCTGTTCTTTTTTTTCTTTTTCTTTATTAAGGTATTACATATGTGTCCCTATTCCCCCCAACCCCAACCAATCGTAAGTATATGAGAAGAAAATTCTACATATAGAAAAAGCATACAATTAAGTCTTTGTCTAAACTGATCCATAGAAGAAAGTTCATAAAAGTACTCACTCTCATCAATGGCAGATTTGTTTTCGGCATGGCTCTCAATGTCCTTGGAAAACCACTCATTAAATTCCTCATGTGAATCAAATAATGTTGGCATAATGAAATGCAGCAGAGCCCAGAGCTATAAACAAAAGAAAAGTGAAATAGCTGCAGAGCAACAAAATGACAGTGTGAGGGTTTGGAGAGAGAGTGAAAGTTGCAGGTATGTGTGTATGTCTGTGTCTCAGTGCATGTGTATGTGTGAGTGAATGAGAGGGACAGAAACAGTGTATGGGCACATACCTCATCACCCAATACTAATTCTATAAAGTGCTACGCAAAATGTAGTTACTTTTCAATGAATTTCGAACTAAAAGTCTGAAAGTGCACGTCCACCTCAGATTTTGCGGTGGAATAGTTTTAAAGATCTTACACATATTAAAAAACCCATTCCACAATTGTGTAACATCTGAGGTAACATAACTTGCTAATAATAACTCCAGATCAGGGGTTAACAAATTATAATCTGTTGTGCCAAGTCTGGTCTGCCATCTATTTTTACAAATAAAGTTTTAGTGAACATAGCCACATTTACTCATTTATGTATCATCCATGGCTGCTTACATATTATAATGGCAAGGTTAAATAGTGTGACAGTGACTGTATGGCCAGTAAAGTCTAAAATATTTACTATCTGGCTCTTTACAGAAAGTTTTCTAACCCCTGTTATAGAAGATCAATTATCTTCCTAAAGAAAAAAATGTTACCTTTTCATTCTAGCATAAAAACATCTCTGCTTTGGATGGGTAGCATCCCTAATGTGGTCACTGTTTATTACATAAATACAAAGAAATAAAGTAACTTATTTGCTTTTTGCCAGAGAATTAAAAAATAGGAATGATGCCAAAAAACCCACTTAGGGTAAGCTATGTTCAAATTCTTCTTTATGTGGGAATTATAATTTGCACAGAGTACTAATACTCAAGGTTGGCATGTGTGAAGACTTCTATTCTCTGCTGGAGCCATTCTGTTTAATGCAGACCTAAAACTGAGACCTAGTGCCTACCTCTGCCATGGTGTTCTGAATGGGGGTCCCAGTTAGCAGAAGCCGATTCCGACACTGGAACTGCAAGAGGATCTTCCAACGAACACTGTCCAATAAGATGAATTACAAATTCCAAGTTAGCTATAAATCTTTCTCCACCCTACCAAGTCCCCATATTTCTAAAAATGTTTTCCAAAAAAATAACGAACACTCAGAATCAACTACTCCACTATGTACACAATTGAAAAATATTATTCAACAAAGCTGAGGACAGGACATTTCAGAGGACTGATTTCTGCCTCTATACTGAAAATATGGGACTAGGCTTTAGGAAAAAAAGCCCCAAACAGGCAGAGAGGGATCCTTTCTGGCTTGATAAAACTCCTCTTTGTGCTGACACAAACCAGTTCATTATAAGGCACTTATCTGTAGTAGGAAGCTTTAAAATTGATTTTAGGGAAAGCCCATGAGAAGAAAATGCAAAGAGAATATATCATCTATGGCTATGAACATTTCCTACTTTGAAATAGTGCAATATGAAGTAATGCCCTTCAGATGATGTAATGTTCTATGGAAAATACCATCCTGCCAGTTAACATGGACCTTTAAAGAAGTCCTATGTGTTCACCAACAGTTAATAAAAATGCCTCAAACTCAAGGTTTAATACTACTGAATAACACTTTATAGCCAAACACTCGTTTACTATTCAGTTTGGAAACTTAAAAGTATTAGAATATTTTTCCTGGCTGGTGTGGCATACTTCACTGGAGGGTTGCCGGTTCAATTCCTGGTCAAGGGCACATACCTGGGTTGCAGGTTCCATCTTTAGCCCGAGTAGAAGTGCATGAGGGAGGCAACCAATTGATGTATCTCTCTCACATCCATGTTTCTCTCTCTCCCCCTCTCTCCCTCTCCTCCAGTCTCTCAAAAAAAAAAAAAATCAATAGAAAAAATATTCTCGGGTAAGGATTAACAACAAAAAGTTATTGGAATATTTTAAACATATAAGTTCCAATAAAAAGATTCTTGGGGAATTCTAATACCATCCAGGGACTAGGACAACTTGCATAAAGCAGACAGAACCTACAATCCACATAAATGTAACATTCTACTTCCTACTAAGACCTCCTGTCTAAAATAATCTCTCGAGGAAAGGGCAGGCGCCCCTTCCTCCACAAAAATTTTCCTTGAAGAACAAAGATCTATTAAAATGTCATAATTATTGAGTAGGAAAACAGAATGAGAAAAATCCTTGTATTTTAAACATTAATATTTATGTTCCATGAAAAATGCAAAAGGGAACTTCTGACTTCTGGTCAGATGAATGGCTTATGGGGAGACCATATCATTCCATCTTCTGAAACCTCTCTGATCTTTATTTTCATGTGTGTATATAGCACACAGATACAGTTGACCCTTGAACAACATGGGTTTAAACTGTGAGGGTCCACTAACGTGGATTTTTTTCCAATAAATATAGTAAATGTATTTTCTCTTCCTTATAATTTTCTTAGTAACATTTTTGTTGTTGTTGTTTTTCTTGTTAATACTCACCTGAGGATACTTTTTCCATTGACTTTTTTTAGAGAGTGAAGGGACGGGGAGAGACAGAGAGAAACATTGGTTTCCTACCGCACTTGCCACAATGGGTCCAGGGATAGAGCCTACAACCAAGGTACAAGCCCTTGACCAGAATCGAACCCATAATCCTTCAGTCTGCAGACTGACACTTTAACCACTGAGCAAAACCAGCTAGGGCAGTATCATTTTCTTTTCTCTAGCTTACTTTATTGTAAGAATTCAATATATAATACATGTAACATACAAAATTTGTGTTAATCGATTATTTATGTTATTGGTAAAACTTCCAGAGTTTGGAGAGTCAAAAGTTTTATGAGGATTTTCAAGTGCGAGGAGTTGGGGGGACTGATTTTGGCACCCTTAACCACCACACTGTTCAAGGGTCAACTGTATATCATATTTCTACATATCCTCAGTCCAAGGAGTTTGGGTTCTACTACTCATGTTACCTGGAACTACTCTTGAGTGCCTGAGCCTCGTCCAGTACCATGTACTGCCACTTGACCCGCTGGAAATACTTTACATCCTGCACCACCAGCTGGTAGCTGGTGATAACCACGTGGAAGGGAGCATCCTGAGTGTAAAGGGTCTTCTGTAAATATAAGAGGACAAGGGCGAAAAGAAATAACAATTCATATGAGATAATGAGGAATACATTGTATTTTCTAAGGCCAAGTTTATGATAGCTCTAAAGATGTGCTTCTCCCACCTGGGAGATGTACAGTGAATTAAACAACTGTTTTTAAAGTAGGACCTTAATCACGAATCATCATAAAAACTAGTATTTAGCTTATTAAAGAAAAAAGTTCTTATTTAATCCTGGACTTCAATCAAATCCAGCTGACTGTCTATAATAGGAAAAACATCATAACAATGTAAAAGAAAAAAAGTGCACTTGCCTAGTGCCAGAAATATATAAGAAGATTTTGTATATGAGAAATTACTCAAATCAATTGAAGAAATAATGATTTCATATATATACATGTGTGCTTGTATATGTATATATTCAGTAAGCTGAGAGTTACCTGACTCCAGAATCTCCTTATGACTTTTCTATCATGAGGATTTCCCCAATATGGTAGCACCTGGAAAAGGACCAATACATTACTCAGAAGGATTTTAAAAGAACCTAAAACAAAATAAAGCTAGGAATTCCTCTTCTGTCATGGCTTGACTAGTACTCCTCCTGCTGACCAAATTAAAAACACATATTCAAAACATCTGTTTGAAAGTATCAAAGAGCTAAGCTACTGAGGCAATGGAGAATTAAAGAGACAAGATCCAGAAAAGAAAGCAAGCCGAGAAAGGAAATCCTGTCACCTGTACATGGTCCCCCTGAAAGTGATCCTTTCCAAAAGTTCTGGTTGAGAGGCTAAGAAACTGAGCAGAGGTTTTTTTTGTTGTTTTTCCTTAAGAGATGTGGAGCCCACAGGACAAAAACTGTAGTCCAAGGAGGAGGGATTCTGATAAGCATCAACCTCCTTGGCCTTAAGTTAGGATCAAAGAATATATACACACTAGAGTCCCGATGCACAAAATTCGTGCAAGAGTAAGCCTTCCTTCCCCTGGCTGCAGGCACTAGCTTCCTTCTGGACCCGGGACCCAGGCTTCCCTCGCAGCCCTGGCTTCATCCAGAAGGACGTCCAGTCTAATCAGCATATTATGCTTTAATTATAGACTAGAGGCCCAGTGCACAAACATTTGTGCACTCGGGGGGGGGAGGGGGTCCCTCAGCCCGGCTTGTGCCCTCTCGCAGTCTGGGACCCCTCGGGGGATGCCCACCTGCTGGCTTAGGCCTGCTCCCCGGGGGATCGGGCCTAAGCTGGCAGTCAGACATCCCTCTGGCAGCCCGGCAGCCCTCGGGGGATGTCCACTTGCCAGCGGGGAGCAGACCTAAGCTGCAGTTGAATATCCTTAGTGCTGCTGAGGAGGCGGGAGAGGCTCCCACCACCACCACTGTACTGGCAGCCATCAGCCTGGCTTGTGGCTGAGCAGAGCTCCCCCTGTGGGAGCGCACTGACCACCAGAGGGCAGCTCCTGCACTGAGCATCTGGCACCTGGTGGTCAGTGTGTGTCATAGTGACCAGTCATTCCCAGTC